CTTTTCATTGCGAAGACGACAATCTGTACCTGAAAATTCCATGCTTCCTAAACTTGCGAAGCTTTTCACAACAAAGACGACAATCTTTACCTGAATTTGAATAATTTTACCTTCACATATGGTGTGCATTTATATAATACAGAGTACAGACTACCCATAGGTGGGAAGAGTAAAAGAATGAAACAAATAATCTAAAAAAAGGTTATTTCTGATCTGAAAATTAAACTGAGCAAATTTCAATCAATTGGTACAATCTTAGAAAGTTATACAACTTTCTACGATTGTACCAATTCTATCAATTAAATTCCAGATATTTTACAAACTCAGTAAATGCATTTTCAAAAAATATCGTCGTTCATGGAAATGAAGCTCCAGTATGATACAGGGTGCGCAACCTGCACTTTTGTTAGGCTTCAAAGCATAGATACACAAAAACATGGAAACAAAGAGAAATTTTCAAATAATAATGTTTCTCTTTTATTTGTTTAAACTTGTAATTCGAAAAAAGCTTGTTAACAATTAAAACTTAAATAAAAAAGTCGTCTTCATTATATTGATATAAACGGGCGCAACTAGGGGGGGGGCGACCGGGCGCGCGCCCTCCCCTAGCACCTGAGAGGGGGGGGGCGCCCCCCCCCCTGCAGAATGAAAAGAAAGAAAGAATGGCGAAAATCAGTATCACAGGAATAAGAAAACCAATAGAGTTATTGTAGAAATTTTATTATACTATAGTTAGTTTTAAAAAGAATATTTTTATCTTTCTCAATTCTCAAGGCTAAAGGCCATTGTAAACATTAAATGTAAGAAAAAGTTCTGAACTGTATTTTATTTGTGTTGAGTTTATAGAGTACTAGTAGACATCAAACTTTGAATTCTTATGGTAAAATATTCCAAGTTTGAAATATCAAATGTTTACACCACTCGGTGCAAAGATTTAGGGATTAGAATATTTGAGTTTGTGGCAAAAACTCAGTTCCAAATCTAGAGAAAATTCTGAACCTGGCAAATTTCTAACTGATTATCATATTTGATAACTAACAA